AACGAAGCTACAAGGTTTTTTTTTTTAAGTGAACTCTAGAGAACAGGGGTAAATTCTTAGAATTAATACCGCAAGTGGAATATAACCTACGTTGTCATGTCAAATCTTTCCTGATTTTCCTTTTTTAATGAATTAATTCTAGAAAAACGGGGTAAACTCTGAGAATTCATGCTACAAGCGGATAATACCCGTAGTTCCCTTATGCCATCTTGCTCTGATTTTGGAATTTTTTTCAAGGAATTATAGAAAAACAGGGAAAATTCTAGTAACTCATCCTCCAAGTCGAATATATTCCATTGACTTGCCACATCTAATCTACTTTACCCCGATTTTCCATTTTTTTTCAATGAGTAGAAAAACGGGGCTCCCACTGACTCGCCATATTCAATCTTTACCCGATTTTCCATTTCTTTTTTCAATAAATTCTGGAAAAACGGAGTAAATTCTGAGGATTCACGCTACAAGTGGATAAGACTCTAAGTTCCCATATGCCATCTCTACCCCGATTTTCAATTTCTTTTTTCAGCGGTGAATTCTACGATTAGTGCTAATCGTTAGCCCCTTAAAATAAAGCAATACGCAAATAGCTTAATTGTAATTAGGAGTTTTTATAACGCCGGCCCGCTTTCAGTTTGATTATTAATTAATTAACTTCTATAGAAATTAAAAACTTAGACACAACGCGCTATGTAATGTACTGTTCTTCTTTAATTGTAATCATTCCCTAAAGAAGTCTTGGCGTCGAAACGCGTCCGAAATAAATGAGAAGCTTACAACTACAAAAAGTGTTTCTTTGTGCGGCTCGCTAGTAGCTAGTCTTAGTTAAATAGAAGATAGAAAAAATTCCAGATTTAAAAAATGTTTGTGTTTTTAATGAATTCTAGAAAAGCGGGATAAATTCTGAGAATTAGTCCTTCGAGTGGGATAGATCTTAGAGTGCCAAATGCAATCTTTAACCCGATTTTCCATTTTTTTTTTCAATGTACTCTAGAAAAATGGGATGAATTTTGAGAATTCGGCTCACAAATAGCTCATACCCTAAGTCTCCATATGCCATCTTCACTCCGATTTTCCATTTGATCATGAATTTTAGAAAGGAGGTAAATTCTGAGCATTCATGCTACAAGTGGATAATACCCAAAGTTCCCGTATTATATCTTTACCCCAATTTTCCATTTTTCAATAAATTCTAGAAAAAATGGGGTAAAATTTAAGAATCCATTCTCCAAATGAAATAGATCCCAAGTTGCTATATCCTGTCTTCACCCCGATTTTTTTTGGTTCGATTTTGCTATTACACTTCAGTTCACTCCCTCTCACAACTCTCACGAAAACACACACCACGTCTCATTCTAAGCTCGTGGAACAGCACCATATAGGGCGATAAGACACGTGCTGCCTACATGCGGTTTGGTTACGTAATAAATTAATAAATGTAACGTACAGTTTCCAACATCATGTTACAAGTGAATAATACCCGAGGTTCCCATATGCTATCCTTACCCCGAATTTCCATGTTTTTTTTTTTTTCAGTGAATTTGACAAAAAAACGGGGTGAGGTCTAAGAGTTTATCCTCCGAATTAAATAGATCCCAAGTTGCCATAGCCAATCGTTAACCCGATTTTCCATTTTTTCTTTCAATGAATTCTAGAAAAACGGGATGAATTTTGAGAATTCGGCCCACAAGTGGCTAGTGCCCTAGGTTCCCACATGCCATCGTCACCCCACCTTTCCATTTGATCAGTGAATTTCAGAAAAACGAGGTAAATTCTGAGCATTCATGCCACAAGTGGATAATACCCGAGGTTCCCATACGATATCTTTACCCCGATTTTCAATTTTTTTTCAACAAATTTTAGGAAAACGGGGTAAAATCTAAGAATCCATCCTCCCTGATGAAATAGATCCCAAGTTGCCATATCCAGTCTTCAACCCGATTTTCCATTTTTTTTGCAATGAATTCAGGAGAAACGAGATTAATTCTGCGAATTCATCCGCAAGTGGCTAACACGCTAAGTTCCCATATGCCATCTTTACCCCGATTTTCCATTTGATCAGTGATCGAATTCGATCGAATTCGATAAAAACGGGGTAAATTCTGAGCCTTCATGTTACAGGTGAATAATACCCGAAGTTCCCACATGCTATCTTTATCCCGAATTTCTATTTTTTTTTCAGTGAATTTGACAAAAAATGGGGTGAATTCTAAGCGTTCATCCTCCGAATTAATTAGATCTCAAGTTGCCATAGCCAATCTTTAACCCGATTTTCCATTTRTTTTTTATGAATTCTAGAAAAACGGGATAAATTCTACGAATTCATCCGCAAGCGGCTAGCACGCTAAGTTTCCATATGCCATGCACTTTATCTGGTTTTTCCATTTGATCATTTGATTAGAAAAACAGGGTAAATTCTGTGAAATTCATCCTTAAGGTCCTTAAGGTGGAATATATCCTCATGACTTGCCATAGCCATCTTTACCCGATTTTCGATGTGAATTTGTCGTAAACGGGGTAAATTATGACAAATCCACCCAAAAGTACAACAAATCCGACAATAATTTAGAAACAGTACTAAAAAAAGAGCAGCTTAAAACAGCGGAACCGGACCGTAATGAAGAGGACATATCTGCAACAAGAGGACATAAGTGCAACGGTACATACGTCACCTCTCCAGGCCGGCGTGTTGTTCAAATTACGAGTTGGCTAGATCACTCAGTTCAAGAAGAATATTGAACCTGAATAAACACTCATTCTATTTGTGAGAGAATGTTCCTCCAGCTAGGCCATTCTGTGTGATAAGGTTTCATAGCTCATTATGGATTTTGATACAACCAAGAGAATATAATCTCTTGATACAACGACGGCGATAGCGAAAACGAACAGGGGAACAAACTTAAACAAAACTATTCTGTTTTGTAGCAGTTCACTGTAAGCCTGCACAAGTTCACTTAATAGCCAGCCGTATTCAAAATTCTCACATGAAATTGCGGCAAGTGTAGTCTGAATTTCAGCCGTCTCTTCCCTGTACCCCAAGGGGCAGCGCGGGAGAGAGACCCTCTCTCTCCCGCGCTGCCCTTGGGGTAAAGGGAAGAGACGGCTGAAATTCACACTACGGCAAGTGGTCATCCAGTCCAAGGTGGAGCACGAACCCTAAAATCGCACGGCATCCAGAAACCACACGAATAGGTGTGAACATCACCTGATCTACTGCATGCGAGAAACGGTTTCGCGCCAAAAGCGGTGGTATCCAGCCTCATCTCCAGATGTGAGCCTTCAGTGTAGTTCAGCGGAGAAAAACTGTAGCAAACCTCGCAAACCTCTTTATTTACGTGTTAGAATAGCCAAGTTTTTCGTGGCAAAAATGCGCCTTTTAACGCATAATATGCTTACATCTCACGTAAAAGGCGTGAAGAATGGATATCCTTTAGCTATAGAGGTAGTTAATTAATTTTTAATGTTGTAGTTTTCATATAATTGAAACAAAAAAATGAAGGTCTAACGTGCACGTGGGCACATTCTGAAATTGCTTATTTTGATCTACAATATAAATAGTTTTAAACTCGTTTGCTTTGAAATCGTACTATGTATGTAAAACCTTTTTTTAAGAAGTGCCGATTTTCCTTTTTTACCTTAGGTCGCGAATGTTGTGGTAAATGAAGTAGACTTCAATCCTGAGTTCATCTCTCGTATGATTCCGAAAGTGGACTGGGGTGTACTTGTACAAGCAGCTCAACAAGTGAGAACATTGAGAACAAAATCTTATGTAAACAACATGCATGATGTATACCTTCCCTGTTTGAAATATTTTCCACCAGAGTTTAAATTATATAAAATAAAATAAAATTTAATGTTAGAGTTATATTGATCAATTCCACCGACATGTATAAATTTACTCAGACAATGGTGCATTTTAAGAGGATTGGTTTCATTTTCTGGTATGCTGTCATTTCCGGGATCATATTTTGGATTTTGATGTACGTTAAGTTTTTTGTTCGTGTTGGAACCAGTATTTTCTTCTTGTGATCACATGAAATATGATAAGGGTTGTTTGGTCCCAGCAAGAAGTATGTGATGTGTTGGTATATCTGGGCCCTATACTTTCGACTCTTTTTTCGTAAAACAGTATAAAAAGAAATACACCTGACAGGATTAATTTTTCGTATTTGTATTCAGGTTGGACGGTCTGTGGGTCTACCTGAAGAATTGATCACAGACTTCGAAAAAGATGAAGAGTTCTTAAAGAAAGCACATCATGTTCTGCTCGAGGTATGTAGTTTGGAACAAAACCAGTGTTTTTGTAGTTAATGTGTTTCACATGCACAAATATGTTTATGTATAGAATTTTTATGTATTATAAGATTTTAATCGGTATTTTGAGATCAAATGTTCTAAATGCATTGCAGATTATCTTCTGAGGACTGTCAAGACGAACCTTAGGCACAAACTTCTCTCAAGTCACTTGCTAGTTGATGACCAAGGGGTCCAACTCTAAGTTAATAGTACACTACACACAGTGATTCTGCTTTATTGTCCTGTTTTTATGCTGGGCCACCAATTTGTTGTTGCTGTTTATTAATGGAGGGTCAACGGGTATTTTTTTTTTAATAAACTGTGCACTAAGTGACCAATTATGGTATAAAATGGTTTTTTTTTATAGCATTTGATCACTGTTCTAGGGAACCTTTGCTAAGGAGTCAAGCTGTATTAATTGGTCATTCCCTATGGGTCACTGCTTATTACAAGGTTACTGTAATTTGCATGCCAGACTCCATAGAAATATTGGGTACAAGCATACAACTCTCTTATTCTAAAAAATGAAACAGTGAGATGAAAACTTGATCCAACATTTTTGAAAATGTATTAACAGTATTTTTCATGCAGGTGGAAGTTCAGGAAGGATCCCTGGTCTGTCCTGAATCAGGGAGAAAGTTTCCCATAAAAAATGGAATTCCAAATATGCTCCTTAATGAGGATGAAGTGTAAATGAGCTGTATTTACACTTGATGTGGGCAGAAGGACATTGTGTTGGTTGGATTGGTGCTTAAAGTAGTTTGACCAGTGTGTAGGAATGAGACAAAAATTCTGTAGCTATACATCATTCTCGGAAGATTTGCAGGTGGCCATCAGGATAACTTTGTTGGATCATAGAATTTAAACTGGCTGTAACACAGACTTGTCTGCTGGACAATACATTAGCAGGCTCACAACAGGACTTCTATAGTGCTGTGCATTGTAATTTAATAAGACGTGGCTACTGCACTCTTTTTTCTGCATGTAGCTTTGTCCCTGAGTTAAAATGTTTTAAAGATACCTCTAAATTTAGCTTTAACTAGAAAAAAGCATATTTTCAAACTGAACGTAGTATTGCTTTTACTGACTGCTCTCTTGAAAAAAAAAAAAACTATCTGAAATGTGAGCTTAGTTTGCCAAAATGTAATATTTGCCAAGAAGTGACATAAGTGACTTGTGTCTGATTTCTCCTCACAATATTACCTGAATCACACAAGTCAAGGAAGAAAGTAAATGATCACCAACTAAAGAACATAAACATAAACATACTTTAATTATTCCAGAAACAGACTATGTGTACACTTAGAGAAAAGGGAAAATATGCTTCCAGAAAAGGAAGTTAAGAGGTTATCCCTATGTGAAAACTCCCTAAAAAATAAGTCTACATGAAAATACAAATACTTAGTTATAATTAAATATTTAAGTACAATTTAAGCTGAGATTTAAAATGCTGAAGATTATCAGCTTCCACTATGTTTCTTGGTAATTCATTCTATAATTTAACAATCCTAAGCTCTTGATTGTTTAACAAATTCTTCTTGTCAGCACCTTACAGAATGTAAAGAGAACAGCATGGAGAGTATGGATACTAATGTTAAGCTGTAAAAGGTTGAAACTTGGGGCCCATTTGTATTGTGAACTACTGTATGATGTGGATACAATCATTTTGCCTTATGGGTGTCACCGTGTCATACTAATGCAACTGCTCTGCATTAATAGTCCATTTTACAGTTGTGCTTGGTTTCCAAGCCTTTGAATGGGAGTGAGGCTAGGGTTGACCTTGTTATGATACAAACCTTGCTGCCTTTCAAATGTAAATCACTTTGTTATCATTCTAAGTAAATACAGGTCTCTGTCACAACAAGGTCACCCTCAGCCTCACTCTGAATCAAAGGCTTGGCAACTAGGTACACAACTGTAAAATAGCCTATTATTGAAAGGGTAGAGGCTTAGGAGAAGCTGATAAAGTTTTGTGCACCCAAATTTCCTGTCTAGCACCTTCTTTCCTACCTCCCATCACTTTTTACTCCTGTCCCCTGTCCTTTATAATTTGGTAAGAGATTCGAATTCGCAAAAAGCGAATCAGTGGTGTCTGTCAAATACCTATATTGTACTGCTTAGGGACAAGTCATTATTTCTTGCCTGGGGGTGGGGGGGAGGGGGAAGAGATTTTGGTTGTATCAGATAAAATTTCCACAGATTTCCCCCCCTGGGCAGTTAATTTTTTATAGTTCACCCATTGCACCCTGTTGGGTACCACTGATTCCCCCCTCTTTTCACTCCAAAACCGCAGTGGTTCTCCCCCCCAAAAAATCCTCCCTCCCCTGCGTTTCATGATGTCTGAATTCTTATGGTAATCAGTCCAAAATTACTCTTAAAAAATGTTTGGACTTGCCAGTTATGAAGGAGGTCTTATTCATATTGAGATGACAAGGAATTTTGATGATCCTTTACACGACACCGACCGGCGTGTTATGCGTGAGCCTTCAATTACAGCTGCTGACGTGGTAAAGAAAAAGGCAAAGGGTAGTCGTGCGTGTATGTGATTCTTTTCCACCATGAAAATGCCGGTATTTACGGTAAGATAAGATAACTGTTATTTGAGCTTAAGATATATTTCCAAAATCCTTTACTAAGAGAGGCGTTTCTTCTAGGAGCCGGACACGGACGAAGTTTTCGTGAATAATCTATCCTCATCTGATTACGACGACAGACTTCAAGCTGTAACGTAAGATCGGTGACTTTCCTTTGCGCACTCGTAAATATATCGTTGTGGGTTATATAAGCTTACATGCTAGCTTCTGGAATTCCTTGAAGAAATGTTCTCATGGGAAAGAATGTTAATTCTGATTTTTGCTCGGCAGCTAACAAATTTTGGCCAAGTCATACACAATTTTCTACTTCCGATCAGACAATTAATCTTTAGTACTTAAAACTCGAGCTCGGCTTTGAACCTTTATAAGCCTATACAGATATGCGCTCAGACATATATTGTCGAGGACAGCATAAACCAAACGTCTCTTGCTTCTGTCTTGATTTCCACCCAAAACGTTGAACGTTCGTAGATGTTCTACACACCTTTGTTGTCATGTAACCCTTGTTGACCCGCAGTGGTGGAAACGTACTTGTATTTACTATACTGGAAAAGTATTTAGATATTCCAAGTGGTTGTTTTTTTACACAGAAGTTTACCTTGTCTGCTATATTTAAAACGTGCTTTTCTGGCCTCAGTATCTCTACTGTTGTGGTTACAATTAGAAGAACTACAGCTGTACACGTACAGCTAATCTTATTTTATGTTTGGAGGGTCACTAAGTGCACTTTTGATTCCGTTGTCCTAATTAAACTTCCCCTTATTCCTGAAATCCTGACAATTTTTCAAAGTCACCACCAATCCCACTAAACTTTTGTTTAGCTTTTCATGCTGACTGGAGAAGCCCTTTAGGATTATTTCAATCCCATTGTATAACAAAGTCATATTATTAATTATTTTCACCACCTGCTGTATCACCTTTAATCTCATAAGAAGTGTGGAATGATTGAGATATCCAGGGAGGAATGATGGAAAATGATACCTCAAGGCTGATAAGTCTTTATGTTGGGACAAGTGCTGGTGCTTATTATCAAATACCATCAATAGACTTTGACTATTTATGGTATGTTTCACTTCTGAGGTAGAATAATTATTACCATGAGTATAAAGGTTGATCAACTATTGCATTGAAGTTGTTAGTGGTTTCTGCTTGTTATAATGAGGCTGTCCGTTTACTGTACTGATTATTTCATAGGTTTGTCACAAAAATTAACTTTTGGAACTCAAGTAGCAATTTTCTATTTTTTCAAGTAAACAGCTAAATTTTATAGGATATTTTAATTTAGCAGGTTGATCCTCCCCAGTTGTAGCAGCCACAATTTTTTCATCTCGGACGCCCTGTGAATGCTGCGAGATCATTTATGTTCTTTCACTGCAGGAATATAAAAAATGCAGTCATTGGTAATAAGGCCAAGAAGTCCTCATTCATCAGACTTGACATTATACCAAAGATAATTCAACTACTTGTACAAGATGACACTGGGATTGAATTTGTTGTGGAATCAGTTGTGCTGTTGGGGAGTCTGGCAAGAGGTAGGGCTGGTTTCATGTAATTATTCTGATATTGATACTATTAATTATTTAATAGATATCAATACCATTACCTGTTGTATGCCCATTATTGTGATGAAAATTTAGACATCAGTGTACTGTAAGAATGCCAAAGAGATCCTTTGATTCTTTATGATTTACAAAAGATATTGATCTTACACCTGTATGTGTATGTCAACGTTTGTGAATATGTGAAATCATAGATTTGAACTGCGGTTAAAGAAATTAGTATGAGAGCGATCTTTGCAGTAATGATCAGTACTTAAGCAGGGGTGAAAATTAGAAAAATATTTGTAGGTGTTGTGCATTGATCTACAAAACTAGGGAAGATTAATACTAGGAGATACAGTGGAACCCCACAATCTCAAACTCCTTAGGGAAACAAAAACTAGTTTGAGTTAGCATGGGCTCAGCTGATGTTAAATTATGGAAAAAGTGGGCCAAGGGAAATTGAATCTTGTTCGAGTTACGGAGGGGGAGGGGGGTTGAGTTGGTGGGGTTCCACTGAATTTGAATTTTCCTGAAATACATTGCACTCTTTTGTACAACATGTTTCAGTACACATTTTGTTAAGGACACAGTTATTATTTTTTTTCTGATGAACTTGAATAGCACCCCCAGTTTGGCCAAAGTGTTTCAGCAAATGGAGCCTTTGGTTTATATTCTGGAATCAGAATTTTCTCTTTTCCTTGTACATGTTTTTTTTTTAATCAGGTTCAGCTGAGAATGTCCAAGCTCTTTTAGCAACAGATTCACTGAATGTGCTATTAAAAGGTAACTTGTAATTAGTTCTCATAGTGGAGTGTCTTAACCATGACCAGCTACTGTTTTAACATAAGACTTATCAATTTACTACTGTAACAAACATACACAATGTACATGTATTTGTGTAGTGGTAGAGCATTGGATGATGGAATTTGAAGGTCTATTCTCTGTTTCTTCACGGAGCTCAAAACTTACATTGTACCATCTTTCTTCTTATTCTATTTACAAAACATGACGCTATTGACATTACTGATTCTAGCGTTATGTAGGAGGCATGAGGCATGTCATAAGTATGACCTTTGTAATGGGCTTGGGTCACCATAGAGTCTCTGTGGCTTAGTGGTAGAGCATCCCAGGAGGGAATCTGAAGGTGTGAGGTTTGATTCCTCATGGGGAATCAGAATTTTTTTCTCTGTTGCACGCTTTTTCTATATTTCTTTACCAGGCTCAAAAATTACTAAAAAAACTTACGATCTTTCTTATTCTATTTACAAAAGATATATATTGTATGTTAGGCTGTCATGAAAAGCTAATGCTAAACTATTGTTATTGGTTAGTTAATTTTATTTTGTTGTACCCACTGGACACATTCACATACCTGTACTCATACAGTTTAAGTTATCTTAACAAGGATGCAGTCTTTTACCTGGATAGTAAGTATATATTAAGCATGCATTTGTTTTTTTATTATGATAGGAATTTGCCATTCAGATTCTCGAGTTGTTGAAGCATCTGTCAGATCACTGAGGACACTCTATGACTCTTCATTGACTCCATGTCGCCCTGTCTTTGAGGTTAGTTTTCTCTAAGGTTATGCGCTGATCAATTCAAAGCTTCAACATCACCACCCCCCTGCCCCTTCCTTGGGCATTTGAACTTTTTAAATTTGGTTTGTGCAAATTCCCAAATTCAAGTTTTTGGGAGAATTCTTTTGCTGAAACAATTGCCAATTTTCAGGTATTATTAGTCAGCAAAGGTTTTTTTTTTTATCAGGTGTCAATTAGAGACTGTCATAAAATTTTAAGATTAAATTCTATTTTACTTTGCCAAATTTAGTTATAATTATTTACTTTAATTCTCAGAAACAAAGCATTGTACCACAGCTCGTAGACCTGTTGTCTAGTTCCCAGTCTAATGCTGAGGGAGCTGCAGCAATCTTATCCAAATGTTGTCAGGTAAATATTGAGTGTTACCAACATACCATTAAGTTTCTCATTCATGACCTATAAAGCAATGGGATGGATGGGAGGCAATGTGCCTTTCCTCATATGCAAAGTCACCATTTTTAAGTCTCAAAATTTTAACCAGAACTCATACAACTTGGCTAAAATGTCTTCAAGTTATACTTTGAGTAAAACATCTCCAAATTCAACTTGATCATCTTGAAACTTGACCAAAAACATTTACATGTAGGTGGGGCACAAGTGGTCAAGTAGCTTGAGTCTCAATTGAAGGTCAACCTGTGTTTGACAGGTTCAGGCTTTATACAATCATGTATGTTTTGTGGTGAACATTTCACCTCTTGTCAACTAAGATTCAATTACATTTTACTTTCAGGGTCCTGCACATCAGGCTTTGTTATGTAATATGGGAGCAGTGACTGCCTTACTGCCACTTTTGGTCTGTGATATTCCCAAGATACAACAGCCAGCACTTCAGTGCTATTCATCCATGTCCTTTCAGAATGGGGCTGTGTCAATTGCTATGAAGTCAGGTATAGACCTGAAAATGAATACCAAGAACCTTTTTTTGACTTTATTGTGAATGAAAAATTTATGATTGTGTGGCATTGAAAGAATTACGTACAATTTACTGGTGTACGAACTCTAAACAACTTTCAACACTGTACAGCATGGCAAAGAGTGTAATTGTGCAATATGAAATAGCAACTATAACACTTCCATTGTTATGGCCAGAAAAAAAACTAAAATTAATGACGTCACTGCATTTCGGATGTTACTAAACTGCACCTAGCACCAAAAAAAAACAAAAAAAAAAAAACGAGAAAACAGGCATAGTACATTGAAAATTGTGCCAGCAGCAAAACGGTGGCAATGAAATGACAAAGAAAAGCGTTAATTAAATAATAAGCATAATTACAGGGTGAAAAAGACTTAAATAATTGAATTTCAATCACACAAAAGTAAAAAGAAAAAACCAGTGAGAAAAAATGTTGCACTTAGAACTTACATGAGATATTTTTGTTCCTAATTTGAATTTTTTATTCTGTGCAAATCCAAAGCAACACATCAAGGTGAGCGGCTAGTTCAAATATTTACTAAGCTGCTCTCAAGAGACAGACCAGATGAAATTCAACTTGGAGCTGCAAAGTGGTATGTTGATCTTCCAACTGTCTGTCTATTTTGTGTCTTTTGGTCATTCTGACCTTCCATCCATCTGCCTGCCTGTCTGTGATTTGGTCTGTCATTCTTCCTTTCCATTGGTCTCTCTTTCCATCCGCCTCCTGGTTCCATTTACCGCCTCCCGGTTAGCTCAATTGTTAGAGTACCGGACTGTTGTGCAGGAGGTCGTGAGTTCAAATCCGGCCGGACCAACACTCAGGGTCTTTATTTAATTAACTGAGAAGAAAGTGCTGCCTTTGTAATAATATCTGCAAATGGTTAGACTTTCTAGTCTTCTCGGATAGGGATGATAAATGGAGGTCCTGTCTCCTGCAGGGTTGGGGTAGGTGATGTTAATTTCCCACACACGAGATTACTGTGTGATGGATGTCCTCCCCGGGGTAGGATGGGTGGGTAAAAAAAGGGGTTAGGTGTCAATTGGAACGATAGTTCTGTTCCTTTCTCCTGCCATTCCTGTGGCTAATGAATTAAACTGTCTTAAACTTAAACTTAAATTAAACATCCTTTCAGCTATCTGCCCATGCATCCATCCATCTACCTGCTTGTTTGTCCAGCAAATTGTTTGCATTTGTGTCTATTAAATTCTACATGTTTTTTTTTTTCTAGTGGTCCAATCCATCTTTCTTTCTGGTTGTTGATCTGTCTGTCTGTTGGTCAGTCAATCTCTGTGTCTAATATGTAATCTCTTTGTTTTTTTATCCCCCTGGGTCCACAAAACTCTCTATCTCCATGTACCTAACTGTCCTCACTAACTGCTTGTACAGGAATATGTACATGTATGATGCATGAATGAATTACGTAAAGTAAGTTTTTGTCTATCTGATGAATTAAAGGTATATTTTCTTCTGCAGTTTGACAAACATGCACAGAGCAGGGGCAGTGTCAGCAGCAGAACACCACTCACTATTGATCAAGGTGTGTAAATCCCTTCAGTAATTACAGCCATATTATTATTCATTGTACCTGATGCATTGTATTCAACTTTATCATCACATCTCAATTCTTGGTGACAAGAGGTCACTGACATTTAATCTCAATATTCTAACTTATTCATGACTAATGCAAAGAGCACAACATAGTCTGCAAGCAAGCCCTTATTATTTGTGATTCAGCACAAGCATTGCTTCACCAACATAACAGTACAAGGCTTTGAGCAACAGAGCAACATGAGCCAGTGAGAGGTGTGAAAGGGATTTAGTACTGATTGCAAAGCTTTCCCTGGCTCGTCTTTGCGGGCAGAGAAACGAATGTGTGTCCTGCAGCACTTATGGTGAGGGCCTGCTCACAAGTGCCAGTGTTGCTTCACCTATGGGAAAGTATGAGGTATTAAGCAATGTGAACCAGTGAGAGGTGTGGTAGGGGTCTAATACTGATTGGAAAGCCCCCCTCTGGCCTGTCTCTGTGTGAGGAGAAACATACATCCTGTAGCACTTATCACGAGGGCCTGCTTGCAAGCCAGGTACAACAATGGTCATGGGGACTATGAATCTCAAACTCATATAATTTTCTTTCACTGCAGCTACTCCTAGAAAGGATGAATTTTATGCATGACCCTGGAGTATATTGTTGGGAGGAACAGAGGGGAGGGTACTCTCACATGAAGGGATGGCAGGATGCCAGTTGTCTTGACTATGTGCGAGACAATAGTTCATGATGTGCATGATAGTTCATATGATGCACGATCCTCGCAGTAGATAGCGCTATTTAAGCAATAGCAAAAATCAGAGCTGAAAAAAATCAGGCCTGTACGGGATTCGAACCACTGACCTCTGGGATACTGGTGCAGCACTCTACCAATTGAGCTAACAAGCCAACTGGGAGCAGGCCGTTAAGTTGATTCATAATAAACCTGTGAAAGTGATAAATGATAGTTCATGTTGTACAGAGTGTATACGATACATGACTGTGAGTTTTTAAACACTGAACACCAATTAATGTACAAGAAATGTATGATCAAGAAGGATTGGGGGCAGTACCGACTCTTTTCAGCAGCCCAGTGGTCTGTAGTTCTTCCCCCATTAATTGGTAAATAAGATGTTGACATATTGGTAACAAACGATTGCTCTTCAAGGTTCTTGCCACAGTGGTCCGAATGTGTAAGTGGGACAAGAACCTCACTGTCAGAGCCGAGGCAGCAGAGACATTAGGTCAGTTGTAATTAAATATTAAATTTTCTTGTTTAATAAATGTAGAGGTTGTTTTGCATTTAACTTTGACCAGATTTGAAAAGGCTCAACCTTGTGTATCTGTACGAGGGCAAGGTGGCTTACTTAACAAAATATATTCCATGTTGTTTTGAGTCTGTTCAGTAGATCACAGATGATGCTTTGATAAAAATCAAAATGTAGTTGATGGTGAGGTGACTAATGTGTCTGTCCTCCAGTAAATCATAACCAAGAACCAACCAAAATGGCTGCATAATGCGGCTTATCAAATAAAAAGTACCTTTCATGTAGTTCATCCTCGTATCTGTAGCTTGCCTCATCTTCCCAGACATTATGTATAATTATCACAAGTAGTTAGTCCTCAAAAATTTTCCAGGTTCCCCTCAGCTGACAGTTTGTTAGTGGCCATGTCATCTTGAGAGAGATAGAAGCCCTGTGATAAACAACCATCCTGCCTAAGAACACCACAAAGGTGACCCTTCCTCAGGCTATTTCCAGGACATTTTGTTCTTAATTCTGTGCTGTTATTTGATATACCACACAATTGCCAAAGGTTTTTCATTGTTATTTATGAGAACCGGGGTTGAATCCTAACTACTTTTAATTAGCACTAACAAGAAAATACAGTCCTGTTTGAGTGCATGATTTCAAAAACAAAGTAATCACAACAGCTAATCAGGGGAAAGGAAAATATCACAACCAGCCAATGAGAATTAAATGTAAAAGTAAGCATCTTGCTCAAAGTGCAAGAAATGCATGTGGCGAGGTGGCAATTTGGTTTTCTTTTTGAATCTGGATGGCATGAGTTTTCTGGACCAATCACAGAGCGTTGAAAGTAAAATCCATGTAATCCTTAATTACTTTTGACAGTCAATTGAGAATTGCTCTATCAAGCAGTTGCTATTTATGTTCATCCACTAGACCAGTCAAATAGTAGTGGTTTGTACAGGTAAATGTTAGTGTATGAAGCTGTCTTTTATGGTCAACAATTTGATTTGCCACTTCTTTCAGCATTCCTCATTGAAGAAGACACAGAGCTACAGAGGACGGCAGCCATTTCTGATCACCTGATAAAAACACTAACTGGTTTCCTGGTCAAGAGTGACTTGGACGACAGCTCATACGCTCTCATGAGAGAGGTGGATATGATCACATACATGTAGGGGAGGAGTGGAGGGGCAGTCCTTCTCGCATTGTTGTTCTTCTTGATGAGGTTTCAGAAAGTTACATCAGAGTAAAGTAAATTCAAAGGACACTCATGATAGCAGAAACTCTAATAACGACCACCTTCAGTATTAGAGCAAATGCGCATCTGCCCCTCCCCCCACAACTAACATCAACCCTAACTTATTGTCAGCTGATTGTTGTTGGTTCAGGGGAGGAGAGGGGTGGGTGTGCAGCTGCTCAGATACTGACAATGATCAAACATTGCATATTTAATGAATACTGCTTTCCTTATTTTCTTCTTCTTCTTCTTCTTCTTCTTCTTCTTCTTATTATTATTATTATTATTATTATGAATATCTAACTTTTAATTCTTTCTTTTTTTTATAGAGTGCATTTAAAGCTCTTGCCTCTGTTGGAGCAAATGATGAAGACATTAGGAAAAAGGTTAAACGACGCTTCTCCCTGCAACATTATTATTGACAACTTAATATTTGAAGCTGATTCGTTTTCATCAGTTTTTGTTAATCTAACACGAGAACTTAATCATGTCATCCTAACTCCCCGTATTCTTAGTTTCTCTGTCAAAAAATTAGTCAGAGAAAATTTTCATTGGTGTATCTTATAGTTTTCTGATTATATTCTTATTTACATCATGAGAAAAAGTTGTGTCACATTTAGGGCTGGTTATTTACACAAAGTCAAATCAAAACCAAGGTTTTACACAATCAGTGGGCTTCAGGCTTTCTCTATAAGAGGGTTGTTTTCATTAAATAAATGTCCTTCCATGGTTAGCTTTTGGCCCTCTTCTCTTGACACTGTTCACAAGAATAAATGTTCAGATAAAAGGTTCTGCTAAATTTAGGATTTTCAAGGGAGTAGTTTTGTGAAACAATGGCTAAACTTTGTTTGACTAATCAACCTTAAACTTTTGTTTTTCTTCTCCAATTTGGCTTCATTAAGGCTTTTTAGTACTTTCTGTAAATCAGCAAATGAATAACAGCAAATAATCTTCTCAAACTGCATTGACTCACATTAACTTTCAAATGAACCTATCACTGTGTAAGATAATTCTAGTATCAAAAGTTCTTTTAACCCTCTTACTCCTATTAGTGACCAAGACAGAATTTCTCATTACAATATCAAAATAATATCAAGCAGACAAGTGATAAGATTGAAGAAAAATATCAAATAGGGATTATAAGTTGATCCAATACCAAATTGTCCAAGCTAACATCATAAGAATTGTATGGCAGGCAGTGAGGAGAATTCGTGTAAGATCTTGGCCGTTAAAAGGGTTAATACTGGTAGCTCTTCTGTAATATAATATCCTTCAAATTATATGATTTTGATTTGGGAGCCAACTGTCTTATTTTCTTTTCTTGTAATGGTTTACTAATGTTTGAAAGTGTATGAGATTGAACCACATGGTTTGCTCTGCAGATCATCGATATCGAATGCACGATGGATCACGTGGTATCTGGTCTAGAGGATCCCAACACTAACGTTAAGTTAGCAGCAGTGAAGTGTCTCCACAGCCTATCTCGTTCTGTGCAACAGCTAAGAACTAGTTTCCAGGACACAGCGGTTTGGAAGCCCATTATGAAATTACTTCAGGACGCCAATGATAACATGATGACTGTGGCTTCCTCTGCCCTCTGTAATCTGTTGCTTGAATTCTCTCCAAGTAAAGAGGTAAATATGGAAGGAATAGCCCAGTCAATACACATCCATCCATCCCACAAACTTAAATTCTATTGTTATACTTCAGAAGAAAATTATTAGAATAATTTCCACGAAAGTCATTCTATGCTCATACTGATTCCATTTTTAAGGAATTGCAAATGTTAAAGTTTCCTGATATTTTTTTGTTTCAATTTGCAAAGTTTGTGTGTCTTTAAAAAAATGGCCTTCTTCCTCATGTATTAAAAAAATGTTTGAAACTGATAACTCAACTTTACTCTTACAATACTAGAAACTCTGATACCTACTACCTGTTTTATGCTCGAACCAATGTAAGACGGTTTCCCCTTTCAGGGACTAAAATTATTTATTTCTCTTAATAAAACACAAAATGCCCCTACAGTCTCTCTTTTTAAATCTAGACTATAGGAATTTCTCCTTTCCTCATTCTCTTCAAGTAGCCATAGTAAGTTGTTTTTTTTTTTTTTGCAGAGTTTTTTTAGTATGCCTGCTCGCTTTCTTTTTGTGTGCGTGTGCTCGTATTTTTGTGTATTTTTCTTTTTTAACTATATTTTTTGCCCATTTATTCCCTTGTCATCTTAGTTATGTTTCGCTGATAAAATTCCACGGTTGAAAACTGTATTTTAGTCTTAGTTAGGGAGAAGCTCGTAGTAGCATGGTTTCCAAATGAGCTTCCTCGCCAGGAATAAGAAATGAATTGTTTTATTCGCATATCAATACTGTAAATATTTCTGGCGAAATAAATAAATCAATCTAAATTAAACAACCTATACTTTTCCAAACCTGACTCGCACAGTCCTCCAGATTAGTATTTTATAATCTTAAATAACTTGCTTTTTTTGTAACTCTTTTTAGCCTTTTTATTGTATCCTTTTACTTTTTTGTTATATAATAGGGGTTAGGTGTCAACTGGGACGAAAGTTCTGTTCCTCTCTCCTGCCACTCCATTTTTACTTTTTCGTTCTTGGTACTGTGTAATGTAGATTACTTATTTGTATTTGTTGAACTGTGGCGAATGTATTAAACTTAAACGTAAACTTAAACTTGAACACCAAACGTAGAGATGACGTGTCTTACGCAGGCACCAAATGGCCCACTATGCTAGAACTTTTCCCGGTTCCTGTCGCATGAAGCCACTAGGAGTATTGCTGTTCGTCCAATGTTGGGTGCAAATCTAACACAGGTTAACTCTCTCCCCTTCCCCCCCTCCCTCCTAGGATTTAGTTGAGTGTCCCTGTTAGTTCCTAGTTCCCAATTATCTTCATGGGTGGAGAGAGACAATCTGTGGAGAATCGTGGTTGTTTGTTGATTGAGAGAAAATTTACATCTGGAATGTAAACTGGCATTTAACGGTGTCACTCAAGTGGTAAAATGTTTAAATACTTACGGTATTTTCACGTCGTATTTCAGCCCATACTAGAGGCAGGAGCCGTTAACTTGTTGTCAAATCTAACCAGGCGCTCAGAAACTGCTCTACGATTAAACGGGGTCTGGGCTCTAATGGTAAGATTTATGAATCATCGGCGTTCTTTCTTCTCCTCTTGGGAGTGGAGCGACAAGACTTATGAATATAACAGTGAAACGTTGGCGAAAATCGTAACATGACGCGATCGTTTGAATTTGTTTGGTTTATTTCCATCTGTTAGTGGCTAGTCAGAATGTCACACTTGCAAGTGTAGCGAGGGGCCGAAAATGAGCAGGGTTGGCGCCGTACCGAGAACGCTCACCTCCCACCGCTGTGGTCTGGGTTCGATTCCGGGACCTGGTGTCGCGTGTGGGTTGAGTTTGTTGTTGGTTCTCGTCCTTGCTCCCCGGGGTTTCTCTGCGTCCTCCGGTTTTCATCCCTCCACTAAAACCAACATTCCAATTGCAATTCCAATTCGACCTAGAAACAGTGGACAAGAAGAGTCACCTCGGAAGGTTCCCTGGCAAATTCCTTTATTATTATTATTATTATTATTATTATTATTATTATTGGTATTATTAGTATTACCACTACGTTTAGAACAAGACAGCATTACATATTATTGCGCATTCATATTATTGATTTCAAATGTTCGCCCGTTGTTGGATGACTTGTTAAAATTTACAACATGGAGACTGCAAAATATAACAACCGAACGTTTTGACTTGCAGTAAAAACAAAGAAAATTAGGGCGAGATTCTTGAATTTACTTTACACTTCATTACTTTAAACTTCGGCCTTGATCTTTTTCGAGCGTTTTTATGACCCGAGATCAAGTCAAGGTCCTTCCGACGCAATTAAAGATGGTAAGAGAACTCGCTAATATCCCGCCATATAGAAAACTTGAGTTATGAGCAAGGTGTTTTGCTTTTATTATACTGTGTAGAATATGGCTTACCAGGCTGATGAAGGAACCAAAAATAAAATCCTTGAGGTTCTAGGACCAGAACAGCTCTTCAGGTTTGTACATGTAACATGTGAGATTTTGTTAAAAGCGCATGAAAAGGTTCAAAAGAAGGCATGTGTTAAGGAATAGAGCAGATATTGACGTGGGTCAGATTCGGTTTCTTTCAAAAGAACAATAACATGCAACCATACAAACGAGAGTGCCTCTTGCTGCCCAAAAAATCTAAAGCTTGAGTCAGTAGATCTGGTCGCCATAACACCAAGGTTTTCCTTCTTTTATCATTGGGTGACTTCATTTTTTAATGGTATGCATTTTCTGAATTCACACCATTGCAAAGGCCCCCCTCAAAGGCCCCCCTATTAAAGAAAGTGAACTATTTTTTTTTTCATTTTGTAGCCTTCTTGACGATCCAGACACACAAGTGACGATGAAAACGCTGGGACTAATGAGGAATCTGTTGTCAGGGCGAGAGGTAATTCCATTTGGTAGTTTTTTGATTTGATAAATACTTTATTGACTAAGCTTGTTCGACCAATAAAGGCTCTCATTATACGAACTGTACGACCCGTGTGCACCTTTATCGAAAAACACTAGACTAAAATTCCCGGATGAGGGCCGTGCGTGTTGGCGTGAGAAGGGCCGCACAAAAGCCACACGGCCCCGCGAGCTCAATGAAGAAAGGAATGTAAAAAACGAAAGACGATCAAAATTATTCACGTTCGGCCCTACCACTCAGTCAATAAGAAAAGTATTTTGGAATTTCACGCGACTCTCCTTTGAGTCATAGGTTGCGTGACATCCTTCAGAACAGCTGCAAAGTAGACTGGATTAAATATTACTAAGTAACAAATTGTAGACGAATTAAATGTCAAACACACATGGGAAGGTTAAGGTACAGCGTATGCCTCATTTAAGAACACGCTTTGAGCCGCAGATTGCGATGCTACATTTGGGGGAGTACCCAAGAGATTTCTCGCTCTTATTTGTTTGACCGTTATGTGTGGCATAGCGTAGCACAGCTTCTGCCAGAACCACTTGTTGTTGACGCTGAGATAAGTGTTGGTGCGCATGTACAATTTTATTTCTTCGTCAAGCTCGTCCATATTCACGTCATCTAACAGAATAATGATGATGTAATTTGTGCGTTCCTCCAGAACCTTCCGATGTGCGGCGCGGAATTCTAGCAAGCACCACTCGCTTTTTAAGAAGTTATTGGATAACACCATGATCATTCGCTTGCTTTGGTCGACGCTCTTGAAAATATTTTCTTGTATCGTTTTCCCCACTTGGAAGTCTCGGTCATGGACACACAGTGTGTAGGGGGGGTCGTGATTTTCAAGTCTGTCCCACAGAGTGTTTAACACCCAACGGTAGTCATTGCCGCTGTAAGACACAAACGCATCGTATAGTTTACTTGGGTCTGAGTCGTCTATGCGATCAAATGGGTGCCAATTGAAGTGAGTGAACAGAAAGACTTTCATTTCTCCGTGGTATCTGAAAATCACCAGGAAAACTATGAAAGTCAAAACCAGCGAACCTGCAAGAATCATAGCGATTATTTTATATTCAGTTCCTGTGGACGGCGGATTTGCATCATCGTCTGCAGGAATTTGACAAACAAATTCATTATCTGGTAGGCTGTAAATTGGTTTCCCCTGAGCATTCTCGGAGTTGCACAGAACGTTTTCCATGTTTTGAATTCTAGTTGCCTCTCTTCGTAGCCAATGCTTCATCCATTTTGTTGTACAGTCGCATTTGAAGAAGTTGTGGTTTAACGCGAGAATTGTGAAATTAACGTCTATGATATTCTCAGGTAGACTGGTCAGTTTGTTAAAATCAATGAACAGAATTTTGATTCGTGTTAACTTTTCTACTGTGGACTCGTTTATTACATGGATATCGTTGTTAGTTAGATAAAGGGCTGTGATGTTTTCCAAATAAGGATGTGGGTGAATCTCCTTGATGTTGTTGTTCTCTGCATGAAGAACTACATTACCGCGTGGAACCTTGGAAGGCAACTCCGTAAGGTTTCTTCCTTTGCAGTGGATGACCACAGCTTCATCCATAGCTCGTACATAGCACAAACATCTTTGAGGACAGTTGTTTAGATTTTTCTGGCATTTGAACTCTTCTTCGTGTACAGATAGTATCGGTTTATCGTTAACTTTGCCAGGAACCGTGCATTTCCAAGTTTGAAAGTGCACCCTTTGAATACGCGGATACTTCAGCATCAGTACTCGAATCCAGCGAGCCAAGAACAAGATATGGCAATCACACTCCAAGAGGTTCCCAGTCATGTCGATTGTGTAAATTTGTAGAAGAAACTCAAACAGAATTATCTCTGTCTTGTTGAGTGTCTTTACGTTTATTTTCGAAAATTTGTTATTAGCGAAGCTGATGTGATTAAAACTTTCCTTTAGTCTAAACTCTGCGGAGCTTGCTGTGTCACGATGGTGGTACAAAAACGTGTTCGGGTCTATTTCCTTGAAGAGGTTTCTAAGGTCCTGAAAAGTCAGTTGATTGAATGACAGGTTTATATCTGTGGCATGCCGTTGCAGGAATAAAGATGAAGGAATCCGAGTTATTTTGTTGTTTTGGAGGTTAATCTTTTGCAAAGAACTTGAATCGGTGGGGAAAGCGTCATCTTCTATTACAGTGATTTGATTATCATTTAAATTCAATACTTCACAAGATTTTAAGTTGTTGAACAATTCATTTGGAACGTAGCCCAGTTTGTTACCTCCTAAATCAATTCTTTTGATGTTTGTCAGGTTTTTAAAAAGTTGGATTGGTAAAGACGAAATGTTGTTGTTGTCCAATCGTAATACTAGGAGACTTCGGAGTCCTTGGAATAAATGTGAAGGCAAATCACTCAGCTCGTTATTTCGTAGGTTTATTACCTGTATTCCTTTTAAACCGAGGAAACACTTTGGTCCAACTACTTTTAGTCCATTTCCCTCCAGATTTAACGCGTTTAGAAGTCCTTTAAATTCGTGAGTCGCTAAATCTACGATGTTGTTATACGACAAGTCGAAGAATCGTCGGTACAGCTTCGGGTTAACGATGGTGCCGAATTGATAGTGGTGATTTGCAGTTGGCGTTCTTTCCAGTCCTCTTGGCAGTTCAAGGGTGGTGTTGCACCAAGGAAAAGGTGGTGGTTTTGTAAAATTGTTGTGGGGAACTTCTAGAGATTGAAGTAGCGGCATGGTGTTGTTTAGCTTTGCAGGGATTGACGAAAGCTGTAGATTGGAAAATAAAACTTCAGCCATCTTTGGCCAGGCGTATATTCTAAAAATGTTCGGAATGCCTCGTGGGCGAGATTTGTATACTACTAGAGTACCAATGTTTTCCAGTGCTCGAGGAGAGCTAGCTTTTAATTTTCTGTTTCTTTCTAGCAAAGTTGTGTTCTCCGACGCGTAAAACACCCGAAAATCTGTAGCTTGCCCCCAGACAGACAGGGCCTTTACTGAAATGCTGCAACGTCCCAAAATCTGCATGTAGAATATGAAGTTTTTCTTAGTGACATTTAAAGAATTGTTAACAGAAATTTGCGTCGGGGTTAAACAGGCGGTGGCAAGGTAGAGCACGACATCCCTGCTGGCTGGTAGTAATTTTAAAATCTGGTGGATGTCCATGGTACACGGTTCACCCGTGTTGCTTCTTATCAAACATACAACCTTTTGTGTTGGAACTTTAACGAATAGAGTGGGTGCCTTCGTCCATGTGCAGCGGCGGAATGCATCACAGTGTTTTGATTTTGCACTTTTTTGGCTGGTGACTTTGAACATGCAGAAGGTTAAAACGCAAATGATTATTTGGTGGTATCCTTTCATTTCGAATGCAAGAGAGCGGCGTAGTGGTCACGACTATTTAAATTAAACACGCAGCCGTGAAGTGTTGATTAAATTACCATTGTGCTACCGTCCATGTGCAATATTTACATCCAAGTAATTCTCTTTTCTTCCACTGACACTGATAGATGCGATGTTTCCGTAGTGTTGATCTTTTTCTGCTAGAGAATGTCTTGGCTTGCGTATTCCTCGGGCTTAAGTTCAAAGTGACTTGTTTTTCCGTTATTGATAATATATCTAATTACCATTCGTGACATATCGTCTCAGACGATGATGTTAACAAACATCTATAATTAGATCCAGCCATGCTACCGTTGTTTCACAGTCCCAGTCCCTCAAACAGGTCAATGAGATTGCTTCAACTTCGAGGTTTGGTGTGTGTTGGATCTCAGACATGACGGTGATATCGTCGAAAATCATTAAGAATATTATTTTCTATAGTAAACTTTATTCATCAAGCGGAAGTGCACAAGATGTGTTGGTTGGGGAATCCCCGCTGAAGCTTAACATAAGTTTGCTTCAGCGGAAGTAGTTTTTTTTTTTTATGACAAGAACAAATTACGTGTGAACTTAAAGGAAGGGTTAAGTGTTTTGGACCAAAAATTAGGAAGATATCTTAATTCTACAGATATGTTTTCAGGTAGACTATTCATTTACTTAGTCAACGAGAATTACGTCAAGTCATTTCCATGAGGAAGGGGTTGGGGAATGAGCACTTTCGGGCGAAGGGCGAATGGATGTTAAGCTCAGGAAAATTAGTCTGTGTCTTTGGCTATCGGTTTCTTGCCTATTCAAAGCGAGATTTTGAAGAGTATTTCGGCGACATTTCCCGGTGATTGGCGCACGGATAGCATTACTAGAATTTTTTACAAAATTTTAGACATGAAGTTGTGATTGGTCACTAAGTGGTGTGCCAGGTAGGAGATAGTATCAAATTATACTTTAAAAGTTGAAACTGCCAACGAATTAACACTCTCCCTTAAACGGATTTTTCAACCTTTGAAACGTTTATGTAAAGGAGACGGGAGTTTCGATTACGTGCGCAAGAGACTACAATGTAGTTTCAGTATATTCTGTACTAGGTACCAGGCCCTTTTTCCGAGTGTGCTTCTGTAACTAATAGAGAAATTCCTCTCATTATCGCACTCACATAATCTGTGTCGCTTGTCAATACCCCCTACTTCAATGTTGGCACATAGAATGCTTTTCTAACTTTTTCATTCAGCTAATCGGCATTTAGATAGCTTGTATTTGCTTCGCTCACAGACAAAGGAGACCCTTTCGATACGATGTAAAAGAACTAAAAGGCTTCAGCCAGGTTAGAGAGTGATCTTCAGCCGGTTGTTAGAGGCTGCTATTGTTTTGTTGAGGTTTATCACGGGGTAAGGCATAAGGTGAAAAAAAAGATGTCGAGAAGTTACACATTCCCAGATTAAGTTTAAACTACCTTTGGTGTTTAGCTCCCACGCAGCGAGTTCGTCCATCAGCTATTTTTCGCTAAATGTCATTTGGCCAAGAGACTAAATCCTTAAATCAACATCTCTCCTTGATAAAGCGCTATAAACCGGTCAATTATGGAAGATTTTCTCCCAATTAAATCAGCGACTCGGTGCCTTCATCTCTCATAGTCAGTGAAGCGCTTCGAGTTGCCAGGAGTAGATATGAGCAAAGAAAAACAAGTGGCTTGTTGGGGAGCTGGCCTTTTTTTCATCGAAAAGACCTTTCTAGACGAAGAAGAAAATTTTCATTGACAAGAAATAACAAAATCCTTAAAGGACGAAAAATCCATCTGATTACTATTAAATAAGCACTAAAGTGATTCATTTAAGAATGATTATCTATTGTCGGTAATCTAATCTTACGCTGTTCCTGAGAATCCAGTTAAAATATCACACACACACACACACACACACACACAGACACAGACAGACAGGCCAACAGACAGACAGGCCAACAGACAGACAGACAGACAGACACAGACACACACATACACACACACACAAAAAAAAACAGTGATAACCACAGCAACAGCAGCATAACCAACAAAACAAAACAAACAGAACGGGACATAGACGCGGTTGCCAAGAGACGGAGAAGAGCTTAATGTCTCCTACCATTTTTCCCACACAGCTGTAATAGTAATTTGCTTGAAAAGCAAAATAATTATTTTGGCTCTAATAGTATACATGAAAAAATTTCTCAGTTCTGATTGGTTAAGATGAATGCAGTTTTCAGTTAATTCAGTGCAGAAGAGAGTTAATTCAGTGCAAAGAAAGAAACAAACCAGACATTCTGATTGGTCAGAATGATTGGTCAATGTCAAGGTCGATGTCAAGGTCAATGTCACTTGCAGGGTTTGAATAATAAAAATTTTTGCACCTTTCTTCTGCGTAATTATGGAAGGTACCTCGTATTTTTTCAGGTATATTATTAATACATAATCACATGATTTTCTCGTGCAATTTGGAATAAATAAGCAGTTGTAAATTTCCTCAAAAATCACAGATTGCACTCGCCCTACGGGCTCATGCAATTTTGTTAGTCTTTGAAAAAATGTACTCATGCTTAGTTACTCCCAATTGCACTCGAAATCATGTGATTACCTATACGAATAGTATATTGAATCCACAGAGCGAAAGTAGAGCGACAATTTTAATGACGCTTCTTTTTTCCCAAAGCTGTTTTGAACTTGTCAGGCCTCATCAGTTGAGCATGGCTAACATAATGGCTCATGCGCAGTGTCCAGTGTCATAGTGTTCCTTTCGGGAATATGTTTAAAATTACTTATATGTTTCCTTTGTGACGTGCAAGCTTTCGAGCCCTTCAGCTGACTACAACATTTCATTAATTCTTTTGCCTTAGGACATTGATCGTATCATGCTCCTTCATGGCCCACGGATTATGGATGGTGTGAAGCCGATACTGGACAGCGAGACACGAACTGAGGATGTCAAAGAACAGGTACAAGAGAGAAAGATCGCTAAAAGCTCTCTGCTCAATTTTACTGTGCGATTTGTGATTCGCTGAACTAGCAAGAACACCTAAACCATCGCTAACCTGTAAGTGATCGAATGAGCACTTGCTTCGATAAAGTGACCCTCTAAAGTGATCCCCTCCGTTACTTAAGAAGAACGAATTTTTTTTATCTGCCAGTTTCTATTGTGCTACCGAGTATTAGTATTTTGTATTTATTCATTCTTAAACGTTTTTGTTTTGTGTTTCTAGGCGCTGTGCGTGATCGCCAACATCGCCAATGGTTCCTCAGCCAATGAATTTGTGATGAGAGACGAGAGCCTACTTAAACGACTCATGCATTACATGATGAACGACAGCGTTAAGCTACAAATGGCGGCCACTTACTGTGTCTCCAACCTAGTGTGGAGTACAGAGGATGGTGCTGTGGACAGACAACAAAAACTTCGTGATCTTGGAGTACAAAAACTTCTGCAGTCTCTACTTACAACATCAGACGTTAATCTGTTTGAAAGGTACAGTCGTGATCTTTTTATAGGAATGTTTATATTATGAGAGAGCCCTTTCTGGGATATGTTCTAGCCACAGACGGTTAACGGAGAACGGATGCAACTGCTTTTGGCCTCTTTTGACCACCACCAATCAGTCGGTACTCCCCAACCTTCACAAAACAGTTGCAAAGTATTTTTTGCCGAAATAATAATAACATTTCCTGATATAATATTGGTTAGCTTCGCGTTTTTGTTTGTGGGAATTAAGGTTTTTTAGACTTCGTTAAACCACAAGTAATCGCATGAGGGGCCGCAGCGCAAAATGCCATGATAGACAAGACAGTTCGTACGGAGAACTTATTATACGAAGATATTAAAGCCCTAACCAAACCCGGGGATGCCATTTATCTCCAGGGCTTCCTGTCGGAGAGCTCAGTTTTTGAAAATTAATCAAGAGCTTAAATGCGGATAATTTTTTTAACCTGAACTGTTGCCAAGCTTTGATAGTTAATGCTTACCGTCTACAGCGTCATTTCTCCCCTAAAAATAAATACAGTTTTTTTAGCCTTTATGCTGGCATATTTTAATTTTGTGCTGAAAGGCTTCCTATTACCATTGAATGACGTCTAACAATGTAGAGAATCATCATACCATGTGCATTTTATTTTGGAGTTTTGTTTCAAGGGGAGGACAAGGACATAGTCTTGTTAGAAGCTTTGTGGTTTGAAGGGGAAGATTTATTGGGATTTATCAGAGAGGAAACGCAGTGTTTACGGTATCCCTTCATGCAAAGAAGACTACTGTACACTCCGACTTCTCAGTAGTGGGTTATGGTTCAAAGGCAGCATATATGTCGTTGTGTTCAACCTTTTGTTAAACATTTTTATTCCTATTGTCTCCGCAGGGTTAAAACTGCTCTTCAACAGTTCACGTGATGCTATGTCGCCAACGAAATCCTTGTACAAAGTTCAGCTTTTTAATAAAATGGTCATTGTTTCACTTTTCACTAGTTATAGCAAAGCAATAATGGTAATACTGATGAGAGTAATTGAAATGATAATAAAAGTGATGAGACTTAAAGTAATAATATTTAAAAAACTAGTTGAACTTCCACTTTTGACCGTCTTCATCAGGGCATAGGGTATCCCACCGAAGACCGGCAATTCTCTGAGATTCTAGTGGATCTTTCCTAATTCCGAACCGTTTAACAGTCTTCTTGGAGCTACCATCAGAGTTTCACGTGGGAGTTAAAAAACCTTCCGTTTTGGCACAAACTAATTATTGTACCATCGCATATATAGTGCATACTAAAGTACTGTGATAAACCTACTCTCTTGCTCATCTTGTTACGCTTACAGTGAGCTCTTATAGCCACGAAACTCTTTTTAAGACTTACATTGCTACAGAAAGACATCTTTCACGAAGATACGAGACATCCTAATAACACGCAAGGACGTGCCGAGCGACTATTCTCTTACTCATACCAAGCATAGACATCAACACAGGCTGAACCGCTGTTCCCACTTTCGGAACAGTCTTTTAGATCCTGTCCGTACCATATCTGCAACTCTTCGTCTCGAGACACAGACAATGGATTGGAGAGGGTTTGGAAAGCCAGCACTGTGGAATTGTGGCTAGTCCCGTTGAGACTGTAAAAGTGTTTTTTGGTGCCACAGTCGTGAGATTGTGAGGCACGAAACCCTTTTAAGTCTTTGACGGGAGGTAGAACGACGGTTTTAGTGGCATCTGTTATAATTGTTGACAGCTTTTTGCCATATGGTGCATAAGTGCAGCCCCAGAAAGATGGACCCGTTTCTGAATTGCAGCGTAGCGATCCATTTTTGTGAACGAGCTTCATTGTCCTGAGGCGTCCACTTTTCGTGATTATGATGGAACCATACTTGTTATTTTTGGCTCCAAAGCAGACTGGGTCTTCGCCATTTACCTTCTGCCAGCCATCTGTAATAAATTAAAGAAAAATTCAATTGTAAGCAATCTATGTGGCTGCGGTGTTCTTGTAAGGAGTTGTGTTTCTTAGCCCCTACACCATCCTTAAACCGAAGTTAGGCTTATTACACCTATATGTTGCAAAGGGTTGGTTGGAGGGAAGAGTCCCTAATGAGTTTCACAGGAAACAGCCGAGACCGTGACTGTTTCTTTGTCTCAGGACAGTAATATGCCCATATTTGTGATCAGTCACATTGAAATCACCGGTCGGAACCAGTACCGTTGTTGAGTGCGGTACGCGAGGTTTAAGAATCAATTCAGACTACCTTCACAATAAGCCTCAATTGACCCACTTTTCCCATGGGAGTGAATCCAGTATTTCTTGTATTTTATAGCACCTCCTTCACTCGCTATGATCTCACTGCATGATTCAGCGGGAAGCTCTGGTATGGATCCCAGTGGTACTGAACGAAATAAAAAACAAATGGGTTACTGGTTCAAAAGGGTTGGTCTTGAGCGATGTCAGCTAGGTAAGTAGTAAAGTCGAGGGTTATACTGGAAAACTACCCAAACTGAAGAGTGAGCGACTAATACCCCTCTTTTGAACCGTGTCATTGACATAATCCCATTTCTCAACAACTATCGAACCCTCCACCATCAGTCTCTTAAGGAGACTGGGTTGCAAGATGCAGCTCAGCCAGAGATATAATGTGCAAATTGTTAAAAAAAAAACCGCCCCGGCCGGACCAATACTCATGGTCTTGAAATAACTGAGGAGAATTTGCTACCTTTCTATAATATCAAGAAATGGATANNNNAAAAAAAACGGCTACGAGGGAGACTAGTGCCTACCTTCAGCAAGCTCTACCGAGAGTTGTGCTACATCGTACTCTAGTAGTAACGAAGAAATGGACGTTGCGAATATGGTTTAGCCCTACGAGGGCAACCACAAGCATCAAACGAAGATTTCGACGAACACTGAAAAAGACGGTTTCTCGTCTGTGGCGTTTCGGTCAAGATTAGATAAAAAAACTCAGGTTACTAAATGTTTAAAACTAAGAAGATTTGATGAACGAGTGACTGAAAAAGGAGGAGAGTTCTAAATTTTAGGACGCTACGGATAATTGTAATTTGCTTGAAGTTTGTACGATAAAAATGGGTTCGATAATTACTAGGACGCACAGCTTGCTTTTGCAAATGTTAAACTCTATTAAGTCAGATACGTATGCGGACAACCAGGCGGAGTTACAATATAAGATATGAGGTCAAATTAAGGTGTGATTAAGGTGTAATTAAGGTGTAATTAAGGTGTGGTACAAAGTGAGTTTGGTTGTAGAGACCTAAATGAAAAAAAAGACATCCATCAGTGATATGGCGTTCCTAAATGAGATGATCGCCAGGATAAAACGCCAAGGAATTTAGTTACTTTGGATTGTTGTAGGAGTTAACCTCCAAGGAAAGAGAAATGCTGAATATCTTCTGTCTTCATTTAAAAAATATACCTTCGGAATCATCACAGGATACATAGTATTACGAGAGAAAAGCCTTTTTTCAAAGTGAAAGGTTAGCGACTAATCCCTTAGAGAAAAAGGACACCTTCGACAACATAGGGTACATGCGGGCGGAAAAGCCTCCTAAGTGTAAGGTTGCTACCTTTCTATAATCAAGAAATGGATAGATATTCTAGTCTTCTCGGATAAGGACGAACAAACCGTAGGCCCCGTCTCCTGCAGGGTTAGAGGTAGGAGACGTTAATTTCCCACGCACGAGATTACTGTGTGGTGGATGTCCTCCTCGGGGTGGGATGGTGGGTACAAAGGGGTTAGGTGTCAATTGGGACGAAAGTTCTGTTCCTTTCTCCTGCCATTCCCGTGACGAACAAATTAAATTCCTAAAAATTCCTAAATTCCAAAAATCAAAACACTAAAAGAAAAAAAATTAGCTAAAAGAAATTTATCATTAAGACAAAATAACCCTTATGTATGTTGTTTAGCTCACCAACAAGCTTTCTAGAGCTTAGTTGGTGGAGTATCCGATCGCGAAATCGGAAGCTCATAGAAGAATTTCGTTGTTTGAGTCACACAAAGGTCTAACAGCTCTCTTTCTACACAATAGCAACCTCTGTTAGTAAGACGCCTCATATAGTATCTCGTCTCGTCAGGCAAAAAGTCTTCAGGTCTTGCTTCCTTTGTACGATTGTTCAACTCACAAATGTTTTGACCAATGACGAAGTTGTAGCTTTGACACGTGACTTCTTCCGTGCACTTGAAGTAGCACGAGTCATGCGGTCCAACTCGTACGTTTTTGAACGTATGACCTCGAAGGTACATTCCTTTGACAGAGTATTGCGTTGTGTGACAAGGTCCACCAACATTACTCGCACGAACCCATGAAGTGAAAAATACGGTTACCAACCAGAACCTCAAGTTCAAAGGGATTTGTTGAATAGAGTCCGTCGTTCTTACTGGAGTATGAACCAGCATTTCTCCTAAATGTGCATGAAGTGTTCACTTCAGTTAGTTACATTATTTAGCCATCTTTTGGAATGTCACGTAACCAGTAGAGCCCTGGGCCCCGTTGTTCGAAGGCCGATTAGCGCCAATCCAGGGTTAAAATTAATCCAGGTTTCTATATTTCTCTGTTTAAAAGTTGTTTTGGGATAATTTTCCCAATTTTTTTGAGCATTTAGTCATCAAATTGTAAACGAATGGAATTTAACTGAATTTTCTTTGGAAGCTTTCAGATCTGAAATCAAATTTCACACTTATCCTGGGTTATCTTTACCCGCCTTTGAACAACCCAGCCCTGCCTGACATCTAAAAGAACAGTCATAAGGGCGACTTAAGTGAAATACGTTAGCAGGCCAGGAATAATTCACGTTCTCGTGATCGAAAGTGTAAATGAGCAGTGCTGACACGATTGGAACTTCCTTGTTTCACTTAAGCCATAGAGTGGGTTCTTTCAATTTTAAATTGGTTTTTATTTCATTTTATTATTTGGTTCATGAGAAAGAAAACTTTCTGAAGACAATTTTCAGCTTTCAGGATACATCAGCATTGTTAAAATTTTTGATAAATATTTTGTGGGGAACTAAAATAGCAGTTCATATTTAACAGTATCAAATATCAAGTAGGTAAATCCAAAAGAGATAGCGGAGCGCATAATCAGGAAAACATGGTTACCTACTAAGTTTTCTTGACTGGGTTACACCAAGTTTCTAACACAAACGTGCAAGCTAACGAAACAGTGTACTCCTCTTGATCGAGATAGACATTTTGAAGCTACCGTTGGAAAGCAAATCTGTCAAGGAATGCTCGAACCTCTAGAAAGTGTACATTAAGGTCTTCACAAAGCGAAATCCTGTAAGGTCTTTCTAATTTCAATTTGGAAATATATAACGGCTAGGAAATTATCAATTTCAGATTTTGATATATTTTTTGACTTTCGAAATTAACAACGAAATGGACTGATGCTGATGGTGATAACGGTTTCCTAGCTGGTTTTAGAGAATTCTATCGTAATTTAAGGTGGCTTATGGAAAGTAGCATCGTTTACGTTGCTTCTAAATTGAAACCACGAACAAATCTCGATAGTTAAATTAAGAAAAACGAGAGAAGTATCACCACTAACATCTTCTTACGTCCGCCATTGATATGATTTAGTTCACTGGTTTGACGTGTGGAGGAAGAGCGATCATTTTGAGTTAAGAGTTGGCTTTCCAAATTTCAGAAATACCAGGACTCCTTTAATGTTATTTTTATTTTATTACTACTTATATTATTATCTTTTCTATTATCATCTGACTGCTGATACGAACGAAGATTGTTATATCTTTTGAAAAAGAGAGAGGTACGTAACAGGCCACGGAGGGTTTTCCCTATCGCCCATCCAAAGACGCAACCCATTTGGTAGAGGTTAGTTTCGTTGTTCGGACGAGCGAAGGATAAAAAAAAAAAAGGAACCTCCACCTTTTGGTTCGGTATATCTTTTATGATAAGATCTATATAAGTACTTTCTCGCTTATTTTATTTAATTTTTTCACTGGACTCAGAAATTTTGCATACTTAAGCGGAGGATGTAAATAGCTTGACTGAAAGTGAACTTTACTCTGCGTGGAAGTACCTTGTATTCTTTGATAAGCAATTTTAAGAAAGGAATATATCTGGAATTCGAAATTTTCCAGACTCATGATGATTAAGTTGCCAGTTAAAAGTCGGCGCTACTTTCATTATTTTGTTCTATTTTACTTACAGTTGACACGTCAATCACAGCTGAAATTAATCAAATCATTCTTATTAAAACTCAAGGAGAGCCACCTCTTCTCTTTTATTAATTCTTTTGGAAGGCTGATGTGAGGAAATTTTGTATTAACTACAAAAGATGGCGAAGAATAAGGCATAACAGTTGCGGACACGACGACGGCTTAAAACTCGTTGATCACCTTGTGAACTGATCATAATTTTTTGGCAAAAACCCTCTATTTCTGTGGCCGCTTGATTGATTCTTTTGTGATATTTTCATTCTTCGTGTGTTACGAAAAATGATTCCTAGGTGAGAGTTTTTAGACACATTAATGCGTGCTCGATTCATATTAAACTATTGATGTAGTGTTATCAGATAGGTAGGAACAAGTAAATCAATATTGAATTTGTTGTGTGGCCCTATGTTTGTTCAAGGAGGACAAGGTTCCTACCGCATAAAAATTACACAACTCATGCTATTCAAACCGTCTACAAACTTAAGTAAGTTCAGAGCAATTTTCCTTATTTTCAAGTGACTGCACTGAAACTTTCTCTTCATAGCGGCGATCCCGTTTATCATTTGAAATCAATCACTTTATTTTTGATTGAAAAAACACGCATCACGCTAGGAAGAAGTGCTTGATATCAGTTGACAACGCACTTAATGATACTTTTCCTTTTTAGAGCTTAGTTTTGTTCATGTGAGTGTAGAAATTGCACGTTAAGTCAATTCCATCTTAGGTTCAGTTATTATAATTCTCATTGCAAAGAAGTATCATATTTCTACCTCCGTTGTACACGTCACTCACTCACTCATCCCCCCTCTGTAATACGAACACATGCATAACGTTTTCGAAATTGAAAGAGGTTCTTCATAATTAATTTCTGAACCTTACGAGCCATTCAAAAGCGAGGAAATTATAGCAATATTAAAATTCAGGGTAAACCAACCTTTTCTTTAAAGTAGATGCAGAGATATTGGTTTTCCTTTCCGTTGCAACTGGACGGTATTCGCATCTGTCAGAATTAATGATATATACTTAGGTCAACAAACCAGGATTGAAATTAGAATAGTAATAAGTTAACAGTCACCTGTCTTGTAGCATTATGGAAATATTGTAGTCTCGAATCCTTTTGATATACGGTTACTTCGTTCCACTGAAAATTTTTCTTAGTTTAACGAAGTAAGGGTCATCTGTGCGGACTAAAATTGACCCTGACAAACTTATGGGGTGCCGTACAGGACAATATTGTGTGCCCAAAAAATAAAATGCAAAAGTTAAATATATATGGCATGGATCAAATAAATATATGAATAGAATATATGTGCAACATATATATGGCATGGACCAAGTCATTATGTATCGGCCATAGGACAAAAGTAAGAAAAATATATACGGCTATTGTGCCCGTTATCGCTTTGGCCAGCGGCGTTATTTTGGAAAGCGGGAAAACTTGGTATCTGATCGAGGATCGAGCAGAGAAGGAATAATTATGGCGAACTTTACTCCCACTGTTGACTTACTTGTTCGACAGATTATTGATCATCCTCAATTCAAAGTAGCGTTGCAAGCTAGGTCTTCCGATAGCTCAAGTTCAAACCCTGAAACTTCAACTCAAACATCAGTTTCTGGAACAGGAACTCAGGAAGAGCCGTTCTCAAAGTGGAGGAGCCGCTCTAAATCATCAATCCTGTCACGGGCCGCCATGTTATTTTTTATCAATCTTCCGCTGACCAATTTGACAATGGCCACAATAGCGCAATTTATTTTTCTTACTTTTGTCCTATGTCATCTATTTATTTATTCAGTACCATGTATTGACTTGGTCCATGCCATATATATGTTGCACATATATTCTATTCATATATTTATTTGATCCATGAAATAGATATTTAACTTTTGCATTTTATATTTTGGGCACACAATATTATCCTGTACGGCACCCCATACAAACTTCGCAATTGGCTGACATCTAAAGCAAAAGTCATATGTAAAATCTATTTTATTACTACACGACTCGGGGAGTCAGAGGACCAATAACTAAAATCAACCAATGAAAATGCTCTATTGCCGGTCCAATATTCTCTAAGCATTGGACTGGGCACTGTCCCGAATGATCCCGAATGATACCACACTTGTGTCCCTTTGAATTTCAGTCGTATAATAAATCTCTTATTAACCAAGCTTGCTCGGGACCGTACTGGAAGAATATCGGCCCTCGGTCTTTTTTGTACAGACCTCGCTGTGCTCGGTTCGTACTGTCAAGACCTCGGGCCGATTTTCTCCCAGTACGGCACTCACGCCTGGTTAATAAGATATATTTATCGTATTTGCCACCAAAGAAATACAAATACTATATTTATTATATTGGAGAGAAATGGCGAGGACGCCTAAATTAAGAAACCATGTTGCTTATAACGTATTTCCTTGCCGAGCAGTATATGGCTTACAACAATGGAGCTACAATGGCGAAATAAGTTTTAACTGTTTGCCTTTTTTCACTTGCCAACGTCGGAAATTAGCAACGGAAGGTAAAATGATAGGTAACAGTAAGGTGGGTTTATCTGAGTTATTCTTGTTTAAGAAATTAAATGACACTTCTTCTAGCATCTGTTCCATCGACCTCGAGCTTGCGACCGGAAAAAAAGTTTTTCTTTATATTTTGTCAATGAAAGGAGTCTGCTACACATTTTCTAAAACAGTTAGATGATGTGTAGATGGCAGATTTTCTTAAGCACTGCGACTGACAAACTCTAGCTCACCGAATTTTACCTCAGCACACAACAAAATTCACTCGGCAATGAACTTGTCTTCAACTCAGTTATTCTAAATAAAAACAATTGGAAACTTCAAAACGAAATCCTATGTATATCAGCGTGATCTGAGAAGACCTTCCCATCGACCGTCAACCTTAATCTGCATAAAGAAAACTCGCTGAATTAAAATTCGTTGGTCTAAATCGAACTAAAAAGGCTAATGAGAGCATATATTATACTCCAATAGATTCAGTCATCTCTCCTAACGTAACTCGCGCTTTTCTTCCAAATTCTTTCGCACCACCAACTTAGATTATGTGCTTAAATAGTTAGCACTTTTATCTAAGTTCATTTGAATAATTTTCATAGTTAACAAAAATATATTCTTGACCGATCGGACTCATTTGTTGATCTTTTAGATAAAAGATCTTCACCGGCTTCCTGACTATTAAATGCAACACGAACCTTGTGTTGTGGTGAAATGGATTAAGTCCTAAAGTGGTCATATTTTGTCTTTAAAGTGTCCGATAGATTGGTGACGAGTGAGCGGGTGACCGGACGTAAAAAACAGTGAAAACTCCCAGTTAACACTAACGAGTCTCTTACGTCTATTCTAATTTTGTATTGGTCAGCTTTGAAATACTCTTGAAATAATGTCCAATAGCGATGTATACGTACCTACCTAGTCTCCCTCGCAGCCGTTTTTTTTGGATGTCACGCAACGCTCTCCCAAAAGAACGGCTGCTGACAACCGAACTACATTCCTTTCTCCGAATTGGCCAATCACAGCTCGGGTTCCATTTTCAGGAACCTTTTCGCGCCAGACTCACCTTTTGA